ATCATTTAATCTATATTCTATTTACAAGGGGTCATAAAAATGATGCAGGAGTAATATGCGGTAGTATCAGTATTCACTTATTTTCGTGGGGTCAAAATTTCAAGGTTTGAAAAAATGTTGATTTGTGGGAATTTGATTTCGTGGTTGGAAAATGTTTAGTTGTAATGAATATATGCAATTTTACATTTCTGGATGGTCATAAATTCGTTGGTCTCATCGTGCCTCGAAAGCAACGAAATTTAAATTTAAATGAAAAATGGTGGGAAAAAAGAGAAAGCCCAAGAAAAATATATAAGATATGGTAATAACAAGCCCAAATTCCATTAAAACAACAGGAATAGGGAGCAAAGCACACATTGACCTTATATAAATCTCTTTAAGAAATATTACACTCTTTTAAATCTTATTTTTATATTTAGTTTACTTGCAAAAAAACCCATTTATTGTGACAACGAAATAAAACATTATTTTATGACATAAGTATTATAAAGTATTTGAAATCCAGAGCAATATTTACTTTTGTAGAAGTTCCCCACTTTCCTATTTACCTCTCACTCCTCTTTGGCACCTGATTCAACTTCTGATGTTTTGGAGGTCCTGAAAAATGTTGGAGATTAAAACTTTTCAATGTCGGACTTCCTAAAGCAGTTAAATTGTACACATGTTTGAGTACAACTGTGAAGGACATTATATGTCATGAATTCAAAGTACATTTGTAATATGTTAAAAATAGTCTCTGGACGTATTTGCATACGTTTTCAAAAACCACTCGGGCGAAAAAAAAAAAGAAAGTCAAAATACATGGATAATATTTTATAAGAATATAAACAGAAGTAGTTTTCTAACTTTTCAAAAAAAATGTTTTATAGCCGAAGTTCATGTATAGGTATCGTGTCTGCAATACAAACTACATCGTTTGTTTTTCTTCCGGTTCACTTTACTCGAGAAATTCCGTTTAAATGAGCTAATGTGTTTGTTTCATTGTTGATATGAAAAATCTGTTGAAACTATCGGGTATTTCTGTCCTAGTGTTCTTAAGCTACATTCACTGTACTTACACAGACGCCCAAGAAATAAGTGGAAATTGCTCTGAAGGGTAAATAGAACTTTATGTATGATGGTTTGTCTAGATTAAATTATTAAATGTCTAGATTAAATGCTTATACAGAATTTTGTGTGTTTTATATATTCTTTACGAAACAATTGAGTATATGTTGTATCTAACATGTACATTCTTCATATACTTTTAGGTCCCAAACTTTAAACTGCTGTTATAATTTCTACTTGATCGATGAGCAATGCAAACGTAAGTTTTTCTTTCAAATTGATGCCGGTTGTTGTGTGTTATAAATATGTATTTATTAATAGCGAAAAGAACTAAAATTTGTTTTTTTTTTTTATTCACAGCTTGCAATGACGGTTACTTTGGGGATAATTGCAGTGTTAAATGTAAATATCCTGAATACGGGAAATCGTGTGGGCAAAGGTGTTACTGTCCATCTGAACAATGTAACCATGTGTATGGTTGTCAAGCAAGAGGTAAAAGAACTATATGTTATGTAACTTTATCAATTAAAAACTTGATATAAAATCGTGGTTATGTTTAACATATCCTGTTTGTCTAACAAATGAATGAAAAAAATAGTTAACTTTAGATTTTTGTTATGAAAAAATAATTTGGAAATGTAATAGAAATAAAACAACTTTTAGATGTAACGACTCCCAGATTTAACCAAATTACATCGTCTCAACAAATAACAACGTCTCAACAAATTACATCATCATTTATAAACTCCGATGGGGAAACATCAGAGACACACATGGTACCAGCTGATACAGGACACGAGACAACTATTAAGTCAGACATGGAGCGACAGTTATCGACACAAACTGGTCGCATACCAGAAAATGGTGTAAAAAATAACAATTCTGTGATAATTATCATTGGCACTATCATTGCCTCGTTTTTAGCCATTCTAACAGTTGTTCAGATATATGGTAAATGTAAACCGAAGAAGAAAATACGAATATCAAATAACCAAAATGATCCCGAAACATACGACGAAATAGAGGACACCGCTATTCTCTCAAGTATCAGAAGTAATCGTTACCAAGAATCCAGGACGCAACAGACAAAATATGACGAATTAAAGGAAACTACGAAAAACGAATACTTATTTATAAAATGTGAAACACAAAATTTAACTAATGAGGAAAAACACAATGAATATTTATCAGACAAAGCTAATACATCTTCTGTATCTCAAGATCAGTTGAGTAAGTTATCAAAAAACTCAGACTCTCCTGAGAGAGATAAGGAGTCGTATTTAGAGCCAGTTGCTAACCCCGCACCGCATCACTATACAGATGTCACGGAGAGTCCATATTTAGATGTAATATACAGTAAACCTGCTGATGATAACAGTACTTTCAAGACAATACATTATCATTACAGTATGACGATGTTCTATCAAACAGGACAGAAAAGTCTGTTAAATATGATAAAAGCAAAATGGTAGAGGATAATATTTCAGCTGAAAATTATCTAGATGTTATAAATATTGTTTAATTTGTTTAAAAAATAAATGAAAATTTAACGTGTTTAATTTTTTTAAAAATATAATGGTGGAAGGGAGATAACGAAGAGTAATCGTGCTCAAAAGTTCAGTTAAGGTCAGACGACACATTCCTCTTGGTATAATAGTAATTATTCAAAATTATTCGTATTTCCTCATTCTCTACTGATTTCTACATTGTTTTATAAATGTTTATAAATATAAATACACCAAAAAATGGTGATATAGGCCATTCAGAAGATTGCCCATATCTTTGGTTATATAAAAAATATGACCCTGTTGTCCAAATGCCTGGTAAGATATTTTGATTTTAGTGAGGAATCTTGTTTAGTATCTATTCTTCAATGTCAAATTCTCAAGAAAAAAAATATATTTTTTGAGGAACGTTTCGTTAAACAAGACATACATGAATCAAAACAAAACCAGACCTCTGGAAAGCATTATAAAGTTGGGATCAGGTGTCATGGAAGCGTAAACATCTCTTGTTGACTCGTCACATTGACCTTTTGTCACGATATTACGAACTATGGGCATACATGTAAAACTGTTTTGTCTTTTTCAAGAAAGCTTTAGTTTCCTTTTTTCTTTTGCAAGCTTGTTATGGATTTCTTGAAGATTGTATTGAAATCTTATTATAAAATAACAGTAGGTATAATTACTGTTAAGTAAGAATAATTTTAGATACCCTCTTATGATCAGAATTCCTTACATCAATGCTTATAAATTTGTACAATAAAGAGTGCAGCATATCCGGTATCCTATTGTACAAAGTAATAATATACACTTATCCACTGGTTATGAGTTGGATAGCTCTTTTATCAAACCCGCGACAGAGAACTATTCCCCGAGGGCTTGCCCGAGGGGAATAGTTCCTGTCAAGGGTTTCATAAAAGAGCTATCCCACTCACAACCAGTGGATAAGCGTTTTATTATACTGATGTATGATATAATTTCTGAGGTTTGAATTTTTTGGAGTAAGATAATATTGCAAGATTACCAAGAATAATCTGAAATCCTGATGACGTCACAATGCTACTAAGTCATTATGACCATAGGGACTTGTCTTCCGGATTGATAAATGTAAAATAATTTTTTGAAAATTTGTATCAACAATAAATACACTCTAAAAGTTGCTTTAATAAAGATTCTGACATGATCAGGCAAGAACAATAATGTTTAAAAAAAAGTACTACACCTATACATTAAGTATATAGGTTTTTATTCTTGTTCCTTCCTCTCAAAAACGTTTGTATTTTTTTTAAATTGCTTTTTAAATTCCTCAAGAAATTAAACTGCATCCACGAATAAGAATTTGAACAGGACTAAGTACTATTATTTAAGAAAATAGCATATAAAATTGTTTTGTGCCCTTGTAATTCTTTGCACTTCTCAGCCTTTGTCAGGTTTTTGCTGTTTTTGTCAAGTGCATCTTATTGTAAATTTGTTTTGAGGCTTTAAAGCAATGGATTCAAATTTCATTATCTGTTTGAATTCACTAAAAAATGTGGATAAGTACATTTTTCATTTTTCAAAATAGTTGTTTAGATATTCTTATACGCTGTTGTTTTCACTCATTTTTCAAAACATAGGATGACTATTGAGTATTAAGCTTCTTTACTGTCAAATCTTACAAAGGTGTGAACTTCCTCAAAACTGAAGCCTATCAGTCAAAAGTCTAAAGTCAATCAAACATGATCAGTGATTATTTGTTGGTTCATTGAAATCCACCTGCTCATCTGTCTGTAATACAGACATTGGTTGCTATAAATTTATCATAAAATTATATCGGTTCATATTTTTTTGAAATTCTTATAGCAGTTTTAATGAAACGTTTAATTTCACTCTAGTTCACTGATTCTTTACCAATTATTTTAAATGTAGTGTTTTGAATAGCCCTTGTTTTCCAGCTTTGCACAAAGAAACTGTGTTATAAAAAGTGGTCACATCAACATTAACAATTTAATAAAGATTCAATCATAAGAGAAATTCAAGCTTAATTTCATCTGATTTGTATGTCATAAAGCTCAAGACATTATTTATTGAATTATCCTCGTACTTGAAAAAATACTTTTGCTTTTTCCTCATATATATCATGCATATTTTATTTACATAAAGCATGTACAATTCATATACATACTTCCCTTAAAATACTAGGCCTTAAATGTTTTTTATATATAACTCGCATGACTGAATTAATATTTACTGCTGCAAATGAACCTGACTTAAGTTTTACATATTAATTTCCACAAAATTGGGTTTAATAAAATGTCCATAGTTTTTGCTAGACGTTTATTTATTTAATGTAATGATTTAAAAAAAATGAAATGTTACAGTCAAAAAATATTCGCTGGAGAATTTTTGATTCACAATCGAACGCCCCCTTACGGTTGATTTATGTGAACAATACACTCATATGTACAATGTCAATGAACGTGACCGAATGACCAAATGATTAAGTGTAAATATTTTAAGATAATAAACATTACTCATAAGTATTTTTTCCTCTTTGGTGATCTTTCAAGTGATTACGGATTTATGTGTTCAGTGGACACAGTATTCCTCTTCCTTGTTTACTGCAGGCATGTGTAAGCGCAATCTGGAGACGGCAAGGTAACCCGATTTATGAATTATTTTTCACTATAATCCCAAGATAATGACTTCTACATTTTACAAGTAATCTTATTTGAGATTCATGCATATTTTTTTAGCAATTCAACAGACTGTTGTTACAATCATTATTTTAATGGATCAGCGTGTATTGGTATGTTTCATTCCCGATTCCTGTATTATATATAATCATTATTACATTTACAAATTCATTTTCAAAATTTTCGAACCAAAATACATATATACATGTGTTTATCAATGAATTAATTTATTTATTAGCGTGTCCTCATGGCTATTTTGGACACAACTGTGACAAGAAATGCACGACTGGTTACTTTGGTTACATTTGTAGCAATAAGTGCAACTGCTCAGCTGAATTCTGTAATCATGAGACCGGATGTCCGCCAGGTGAGTTTTGTGATCTATGTTATAAATTAACTTTCTGTTTCAATAGTTTTTTTAAAGAGTTATTGAACTGTTGCTTTCCAACAAAAATCTTTCAGGGGATAACGAATCTACACAAACTGTGATTAAAACTTCAGAAGACCTCGGCGAGGTAACCAATGTTCACCACACTACAACAACTGAATCTGAAATCACCTCCAGATTTCAAGATGAGTTTTTGAATCAGACGACAAAATTAGACATCCGCTTTACGTCAGTGACGGTGGGTCAAAAGACCCAAAGAACAAAATCCCTGAGTGTAACATCCAGATCAACAGAATCTACATCTAGATCAGAGAATCCAAAACCAGCTATGACAGAGTTTCCACTCAATAGTAGTTTCACTATCATCATAGGAATTGGGGGACTTATAGCTTTATTTCTGGCTGTTATAATGATTCAGTTCTGTATTAAACTTTATCAGGGTCGTCAGAAGAAACTAAGAAGGATATCTAGGAATATTTCACCAGTAAAAGAAGAGGTAAAAGAAGAGGAAACCTACCAAGAGATTAACGAAGCCATTCTGATTAAAAATGATAGGTTAAACAGTGACGGAAAAGACAACAAACAATTTGAAAAGTACTATGAACTTAAAAATACAAAATTTGTTAAAGAATTGCCGTATCAAAGAATAAGAAGCAAGGATGCAAAATGTCAAGAAATGGCAAAGAAATCTGAAAAGGAAAATATCGATCTTCTTTCAACAAGCATTGGTTCAGAAGAAGACAGTCAAACTTCCTATATAAACCCAAAAACCCAAACAGTGCATCGTCACAGTTATATAGACGTATTAGACTCTGGTATTACAACAGAGGACATGGATGCTGCTAGTATAAAGGAAGACAATAGCATCGAAGGGGACTCATGTTCTCAATATATTGATCCAATTCATCATGTGATTCCTGAAAATGATAAAGATGCATATTCTGGTGGATATTTAGATGTAACAAGTAATTTATGTTCAGAATCTTCTTATATTCATCCCATTTCAATGTAGCTGATAATATACAAAAACAATAACAGTTATACGACATTGTTAATTTTGTTGGCCAGTTATTTGTTTTAATTCGTTTTTCAGCAAAATCCCTTGCTTTGTGTATAATTTTTCCTTATTATCAGGAAGGTCTTAATTTTATTTCAAATTACAGTGTAAATCGGAATTTGTCTGTTCGAATGGTATAAAAAGCATAGAACATCTAATGCACGAAGAACCATTTCATTTCTGTGGGTTCGTCTTTAAATAATACTAATTAATTTCTTAAATTAAATACAAGTATTTGAGTTGACATTACATGTAACTCATACCCTATACATAAAATGAACAAGAAAACATTGATGTAATCATCAATTGTCACCCGGGAAATACATAAAGTAAGCAATGGAAATGAGTATTGATCATCAAAACGCTTCCATATACATGTATGGGCGACTTCGATTCGTACCCGAGTACGTACTCGAGGTACTTGAGTTTCAATCGAACGACCATAGTTACTACTCAAAATACGTCATATGACCTTATGAACTCTACCCAAGCTAACCCAGCCATACAGTAGGATTACTAGAGTTTCGATATGGCGGCGTCGAAAGAAAAACCCGAACGTAGGAATTATTTTTTACTAAATATTGTGTTTAGCATCGCTTTTCCTTAAAAGCAAACTTCGAAACGCACTTTCTACATGAACGCTTTATAATTTATATGAATATATGTTTATTTGATTAGATTTTTCAGGCTTACTGCCCGATAACAGCAGAGACATAAATTCAAATTCGAAACCAAAAAAGTTAAGAGCTGAAAAAGAAAAACATTTCAACTGCAGCAAAAGCTATAGAAAAAATTAACTCAAGAGATGATGTCAAAATGGACCTATTCGACCGCCTTTTAAAACTCAAAGAGGAAATTTATTTTATTTTCGCTACCCTTCAAACTCATATGAGTTCGCTTGAAAACCACATGTTTGTGTAAACATCCGGTCATCTGACGTCAACCAAGAGTTAATACTCGGGTATGAATCGAAGTCGCCCTAAGTGAAAAAGGCATGCGTCTAAATGATGGAGACGATAGTCGAGAATATTTTGAAAACTCATAGTCGGATGAAAATCGAACAAAAACGAAATCCTTTCAAACTTTATCAATTCCTCAAGTAAATGTTGCCTGCATAAAATATTAATTGAAATCAGACAAATGCATCACCTATTTCCAAAAATGTCGTTTCACTTTAAGAAACCGGTCTCGGTAGCCTAGTGGTAGAGCGTTTGCTTCGTGATCGGGAGGCCCGGGTTCGATTCTCGTTCGCGCCGCCGCGTCATACCTAAAACGTAAAAGCGCTCGGCACTAGAAGTGAATAACACGGGATTTTCGGATTTGACCTTAAAAACAAAGGTCCCGTGTCACAGTAGGCGTTGGCACAATAAAGAACCTTCACTGCTCAATGGCTCTGAGTGTCAAGCATAGGTCTATATTTGAAGCCCTTCACCGGCACACGGTGACGTCTCAATATGAGTGAAAAATTCTCGAGAGGGACGTTAAACAATATACAATCACTTTAAAAATGTAAAACACGAACTGTGTTAAGTACCTTTTTATTCGATAAGTAGAATTCGATGTTCTAAAAAAAGGTTCTGTCGTTTTTTCGATAGTAGAGCGATAAGCAACTTTACATATTGAATATGAAATACATTATACTTTTACAAAATCAGTTTATAGAAGTAATTATATTGTGTATCTCGTAATTTATAAAGGCAAGGAACATTCTGATTATCAATTATTTTAATATTTAGAAAACATTTAACTTTGAATAACTTCTACCACCTCAATCCCCATAAACGAACACTCAAACTTATATGTATAGAGCAGCCCGTGCCTCCAGGCTGCTGCAATAACAAGATCATTTTGTAAATGCTTTCCATTTCATAATTGTTATTCCATAAAATGTTACATAAAACTCTAAGCAGTTAATTCTGGGGTAAAACATATTAAAAGGTCTTCATGGATTAGTAGTGCGTTCGCATTAGGTAAATTATTCTTTTTATAAAATGAATTTTTTGTGTAATATATTGATTATTAAAAACATGAAAACATGTATTTAATTAACAAACAATAAAAAAAATAAAATTCATTATGAATTTCTAATGTTTTTCAAATCTATCAGTTTGCAGTACCCTTAATTTAGCCATATACAAAATACACTCAATATTCTATGAAAAACACTGGAATTATGGATTATGAATTAAATCTTCCTGATTAACAGGAAATTTAATATTTCCGGGTCTCTTTATTGATATTTCAGCTATAGGATAACCTAATTTCAAACTGTTGGCACACACTGAAAATCACGTTTTCCATTCTATTACATTTCATTGTTTTCTATACACTAGCAGGACACTGATGTTCATTTTTATTTCCTAAAACCCAAAAGAAATATATTATAGTTAAATGCAAGCTTTATGATAAACTTGATGACTTTAACTTCACTCGTTAACTTCCCTTTACCGGTCACGGTAACCTAGTGGTAGAACGTTCGCTTCGTGATAGACCCTGTTTCGATTCTCGTTTGCGGCGACGCGTCAAACCTTAGACGTAAACATAGGTAGTGACTGTTTCTTCGCCAAGCGCTCGGCACTAGAGGTGAAAGTCACGGGTCTTTCGGATATGACCTTTAAAATGTAGGTCTCTTGTCACGGTAGGCGTTGACACGATAATGAACCTTCACTACTCAATTGCCCTGAGTGCCGAGTAAAGGTCTAAATTTGAAGCCCTTCACCGGCGAACGGTACGTCTAAATATGAGTGAAAAATTCTCGAGTTAGGCGTTAAACAATATACAATAAATCAATCAATCAACTTCCCTTACTTATGCAGCAATATATACCTCCATCACCTGTATACGGGGTTGATATCTCTCGGTTGATTCAATAGCATGCTCTACGTTTGAACAATTTCTAAAAAAAAAAAAAAAAGGTTAATTATTGACAAACAAGAATATCATCATTTTCGTTTAAAGTGACAATTTCGTTAGTTTTATGGTCATTACAAATGCTTGTCAGCAAATGCAATTTATAATCAAGTCAGATGCTTACAGACGTTTGGCATACTTATTGTTAGTCCATTATTTACACACTAAATTGTCAGCGGATTTTTCAGTATTTCCCTATCATGATAAGGAGCACATGGTGGGTGTGACCGTACGGCAGAGGATGCTCACTCCTCCATGGCAGCTGATCCCACAGCTGATGTTTTGGAGGTCCGTGTTTGCTCTGCTCCTAACTCTTACTTATTCTTTAACAGCACAATGCGCTTCATATTGACTTAAACAAAAGTAAGACATTTGGAATGGCAAGTAATAATGCATGACCTTAAAAGCTGTAATGAATTTAGCTGTTCATTGAAATATTACAGTGAATAAAACATTCTTGGTTTGTATGTAATTGAAAATATTTATCAAATTGATTTGTGATCTTTTTAAGTTTTAACCATAACCATTATGCTACGCCCAAAGGTAGTTCACAGCTTCTGCAAAAAACAAAACAAATATCTGGAATGGACTGTAAGTATAAGACACTTCCACTTTCAGTTTTCTGCGACATTTTAGTGTATGAATGATAATGAATGCTAGCATGACGAAAAAATACAACGAATATTTTTTTTCTAAATATGTAAGAAAATAGATACTTAGCAAATGTGCATTATCAAAACGATGAGAAAAATGATAAGGACAACACTTTCATTCCGGGACGCAGTAAAAACTGGTGATATTTTGATTTCCTGGTGGAGTTGCTTTGTAGTTTGTCAAAATATATAGGATATATTTGGATTCTGTTAAAACTTTGCGAATGCAATTTCTTTACCATTTTCTAAAATTATACATAAACAATTACTTGATAATTCCTATTACTATGGGGTGAGTATAATATTTATTTAATCTAGTTCATTTGCTGGATTGCATATCTTTATTTGAAGAAGATTTAAGGCTTTACTTTTTTCACAGAGAAAACAATAAATGCCGTTACAACTATTTCTTCAACGGAACAACTTGTGTAGGTAAGGAAATATTCAGTACTCTTTTATACATGTATTTAATGTAAAGTCAGAATCAAAATTTACCAATATATAATTGACCATTTTTTTCAATTTTTTGTATACTTACAATGAAAGACTATTATTATCAGAATGTCCTCCTGGTTACTATGGTATTAACTGTAGTTTACCATGTAGCGGGGGTTCCTACGGGAGTCTGTGCTCAAGGACGTGTGATTTGTGCCCCTGGGAACTGTGCGATAGAGTTACTGGATGCCCAAGTATTTTTTAATCATTATTTTTATATTTATTTGTACTTATCACAATACACAGAAATATACAAGTATCAAATAAATAATTTACTTCTAATATTCTCTGTATTTGTAACAATTTAAATTCCAGAAACTACCTCAACCAATACTAAGTCCACAGTTTTACTCACTTCCAGTGTTGACACAATAAGCATCAGAAGTACATTGAAGGTCACTACAGAGGTCAAACAACAGGTCACAACAGGGACCACAGCAGCTCCCGAACCTACTGTTCAGAGTTCTCCTTCAACTAATATATTTTTTTCTAAATCTATAAAAACTCCAAAGTCTTCAACACCGTTTGTTATTCCACAATCAGAGACGCCATATAACTACATTCCTGTTATCGCAATTACGGGAGGGGTCATTGCCTTATTCCTGGCTATACTAGTGATACAGAGTTCCTTAAAGATGCGGCAAAAGAAACAAAAGATTACTAGAGCTGCATCACGAACACCAAAGATACCAGTAGAAGAACAAGAAATATATCATGAAATTGACGACATGAATATAGTAATAGATAAGCGAGATTACCAAGGCATAGAAAAAGGTACAAAGTATTGTGATGCGTCACACGTATATACAGCAAAAGCTCATCCATATCAAGAAATAAAAAATTCTTTGCATGGCGTTGGAAAGCCTGTGATAGAAACAGTACAGGGAAATAATCCCTCCTCAACAGAAGGAAGCAACAGTTCAGAGGAGAGTGGGTCCTCCTACCTTAAGCCCCTGAAAACAACGAATAAACACAATTACATACAAGTAGTGGACCCGGATATACATAACGTCCCCATGACAAGTGTCCATACAGACAGGGAGGAGGAGAACGACTCCTCTTCTCAATATGATGACACTGTTAACGATTCTAGTGCTCTAATTCTGTCCATTTCTGATGGAGACTACCTTGACGTAGAACACTGTCCGGATAACAACGCGACATATCTTGAAGTTGTTCATCAAGAGAAATAAGATCTAAATTATTATCAAAGTCTTGCAAAATAAAGTATCATAGTTTACAGTACGACATTCAAATGATACTGCTTATGATGACTAAAATGAATGGTATTAATAATAAAGACTTCTTTAAACCCATCTATATTATGCTGTGTTATTTAATTGTATGGGTTGAATGACTAATTCAAAATTGATTTTTAATAAAGGTACTAGCAAGTTAAGACAAATAATTGTTTTATGCATAGTTGTGCACAAAAGTCTGAAACATTTTTCAATGCTTATAAATTACATCAGATGGTTTCTTAAAAGATTTCAAATTTGTGTTTTTTTTCTTTGGTTTATGGCATGCTGAAACCATTTCAATTCCATTATAACCAACTGGACACATTTAAAACAAAAATTGAAGGGTAACGTACTCATAACTGTTCTCAGAAAAAGGGTTGCAAAACTTTTTTTTTTCAATATGTCCAACTAATACCCCATTCATACGACGAAAATTTGGTAATGTTAGCAAATATACATATGAATAAATCTACACACGTGAGTAAAATTTAATTTGCTATGCGTTCAGACGAGATTTATGTTCTGTAAGAATATCCTCATATTTTTACATAAGATGAAGATAGACAGATTCAATATTGTGATTTTTTTTTATTATAAAGGGTACTTTCTTCTTATTTGGGTATAATGTTGTAAATTTTGAATTTACCGGGTGGCAGTCGGTAAATTCAAAATTTACAATATGACATTGGTAAGAGACTAACTTTTGAAAGTTCCATATAGAAACTAGCGCAAAAATTCTATTCGCTGATTTATTGGTACTAAAAAAACGAACTTAATAAATTCAAGGACAACAATTGTATAAGCATTTTCACACGAGGAGGGAAAATTTATAAAAATATTAAAATAATTTATGAAAATAATTTGGTCCTAAAGACTGTTGAAGAGCCTTTGGGTGTAAGTTGGTGAATGTTTTATTTGAAATTATTAGTGAAATGAATTTGGGTTTGATGTTTTGTTGCAAATCTATCAACACAAAAATTTTTAGCTTCGAAGCAATGACTTGGCGGCTGCGCAGTACTATTCACCTAATCTCTACAGTGCCTTTTATTTACTCCAATAATTGGAATCAAACTTCGCCTTAACCAAGGTAAGTCTCGTTTAATTTCCTAATTTTTTATGAATAAATTGTGTTGACTCTGATGCATTGAACAAAGGAAGTTTCAAGAGGCGGGGGGGGGGGTTAACGAGCTGTTATGCATTTTTACTTCAAAATGGGGAAATTACCAACATAGACAGTTACACTAATTGATAAGACTTACAATGATAAAAAAGTAAAGAAGAGTCATGTTTAAAGAACTTAGAGAGTGTGATTGGTCATTGAATTATTATCAGAAGACAGGAAGGCTGAAAGAAGAGAGGTCGGAAGGAAACGTTTAACATGGTATGTGATGTTGTCAAAAGACAACGTGTATCTGTTATGTAAATGTATTTGAACACTGTCTTAATATATTGTTCAAGGAATTTTGACAAAGGACTTTGTTATGAAAAGAGTGAATGCACAATGGCTACCAAGAATTCAATAAAGAGCAGAAATTTGTGAACATATTCCGAGAATCTCAAATAATTATACCCCCCGCTTGAAAAGCGGGAGGGTATATAGTAATCGTTAATTCCGTCCGTCTGTACGTCTGTCCGTCCGTCCGTCCGTCCGTCCGTCCTTCTGTCTGTCCGTCCGTCCGTCTGTTACGCTGTGGAGTACCCATCTCTTATCCGCAACTCCTCTCATAGCACTGAATGAAATTTGATGAAACTTTCACATAATCTTTATTACATATTGCCATTGTGCACCTCCTATTTTACTTTTTGATCCGACACATATTTTGGGTTAATCGGCCACAGCAAAACATTGACTTTGCAATTATAATTATATGGAGGCGGGGGGTATCATTTAGTGAGCTCATCGCTCACAGTACCTCTAGTTTTATTTGGAAACGTTTTTAAGTATGACGGTGGGTATCCATAACATGACGTTATTTAGATGCGGCGACTACCAAATCCGCACATTGTATATAATTATATATTTTTAAAAGTATTTTTTACCTTGAATCAAAATTTTCAGATCTGATTTGAAATAAATATAGCTTCCATCATTATACCCTCCGCTTGAAAAGCGGGAGGGTATATAGTAATCGTTAATTCCGTCCGTCCGCCCGTCCGTCTGTTACGCTTTGGGGTACCCATCTCTTATCCGCAACTCCTTTCATACCACTGAATGAAATTTGATGAACTCTATTAAATATTGCCATTGTGCACATACTGTTTTACTTTTTGATCTGACACATATTTTGGGTTAATCGGCCACAGCAAAACATTGACTTTGCAATTATAACTATATGGAGGCGTGGGGTATCATTTAGTGAGCTCATCGCTCACAGTACCTCTAGTTTATAATTGTGTCGACTAAGAGCAATTTTTTTCAATCATATTGAAGTTGTGACATTACTTTTGGATCAACCCTCGTATTTTACTCTTATTAAAGTTTTTATGCCTCTTCTTTTCCCAAAATGCCATGAAAAAGGACAAAAGACAAATGTATATTGAATTTATTGATCAAATTAAAGGTTTTGATCAATAAACAAAAATTGTAGTTAAAATAAGCATCAAAGTTACCAACAAAATGGAGAGTTGTTCTTTACACCTATAAAATATTCCTAACATACATGTATAATAATAACAGAACACAAACTCTATATTAACTACTGTTTGCCGAAAACAATTGTTAAACATGTATATACAGTTTTCTTCATACAAAACAAAATCTAGAATTTAACATGTAAATACAGAGAGTATACAATGACTAGTTTGAATCTTATAAAATTGGCAAAGGTGGGGTCAATCATCCTGACCACACTCTAAAGTGGTTTAGGGGAGGAGGGAGGGTAAATAAAAACTGGTTAAAATGATCCCAAAAAATCTTTGTTTTCCTCCAGGCTAAGGCTAGTACAAAAAGGACGCTAATGAAATCCAAGGAAAGTTGAGAAGCTACATACGGGTTACTGATTAAACAAAATATGAGGCTCACCAAAGATGAGAAATGTAAATCATGGAAATTCGTTGTCATAAAATAATTTATTTACATAAATTGCATATACAGTTTTATAACTTTTTGAAATTACACCCATAACCACTTGTCGCATACTTTTTGCTCTATCAGTAATGTGTTCTCAAATGATGCTGACATATCGGACATCAGCCAGAAATTCGTGGATACTACGTATTTTTGCTTAATGTTATAGTGGGGTTTTTTTTACTGGGAAAAGTCTGTAATAGCTATTTTTAATTTCTAAACATACTGCAATACAGGTTTAAGTGGGATTTCAATCATTTATTTCATCGGAACAATTTAAGAAAATTGAAACATAGTAATTTTTACCATATACATGTAATTCTCTTGAATGTATTTATTAAATTTTGATCATTCGTAAATTATTTTTTGTAACAAATTTAGTTTTAGCAAAATTTTTGTGGCATCCCCCTCCTCCGCACCCCCCTTTATTTCCTTAGCATATTATCTAACTATTAATTTAGTATAGAATTATTCATTGTTGATGTAGAAGGGTTGGATCTCACATGTTACAAGAACCTATATCCAATCAAAGAAATGTTATGTTTTTTTTTATCTTGAACTTTAACCGGTTGTCTTTTTATTCGGAGATTTTTTTATTGTTTGTCTCCTTAACCCCCCTCCCTTTTCACACACATTTTAAAATCGATATGCTGGCTATAGGTGTACATCAGTATGATTATCTATTGATTAAAATTAAAATGGCTAAATGCAATTTAAATTATGGTATATATTTTTCAGGAAAAAAGTAGTGCTAATAAGAACGGTAATACTTTATGTGCATAGATCTCTCGCTCGCTAATTTTTTTTCTCTCTCTAAACAATATACATTTGTTTGAAATGTACCTTTTAATATTTAGACTTTTTAACATGAATTCAAATTTAAGCATTTGTGAATTGCTCACATATGTCCAAAGTTGCGTTTATCAACATGAAGTTAAATACTTAAACAGATTTATGAATTAACTCACGTACTAAATAGTAATGATATCATATACCTATTAAAAATGTCATTCCTCAAATTTCAAAATTTTGTTACATTTTTTGTTGAAATGTTATTACTAATATTAATATTTTATATTAATATATTAATACTTAATATTATTACATATTGAAATCCAATATTATTGCAGCCCGGAGGCCCGGGTTGCTCTATACATATAAGTTTAAGCGTTGGTGTATGGGGATTGGGATGGGAGAAGTTATTCAGAATTAAATGTTTTCTAAACATTGAAAAGATTGTAAATCAAAATGTTCTTTCCGTTTATAAATTACGAAATACACAATATTTTTACTTCCATAAAGTGAATCTGTGAAAATATACATGTTTTTCGAAATTAATATATAAAGTAGCTTATCATTTACTATAGGAAAAACGACATGTCCCTTTTTTTTAGAACAGCGAATTTTACTAATCGCATAAAAACGTACTATACACAGTTTGTGTTTTATATTCTTTAAGTGAAATACATTTTTGAAAATAGGTGATGCATGTGTCCGGTTTCAATTCATATTTTATGCAGCCAACACTTACTTGAAGAATTAATAAAGTTTAAAAGGGGATCGTTTTTGTTCAATTTGCATCCGACTATATAATTTCCAAATATTCTCGACTATCGTCTCCGTCATTTAGACGCATGTCTTTTTCACACATATGGAAGCGGTTTGATGATCAAGACTAATTAATTCCATTGTTTACTTTATTTATTTCCCGGGCGACAATTGATGGTTACATCAATTTTTTCTTGTTTCTAGTTCACGAAACGCAGTCGATAAAAATTACTTCCGTGTTTACAATACCGCTACTTTGACGTCGTTTTCAAAGCATTGTGACGTCAAAAGATAAGGGCCCTTAGAAGCTAATTTCAACTTATGTTATACGATATAACATAACTTGGGGCAGTTTACGCTTTATAAACCGCGAAGCGTACCGCGTAAACTGCCCCAAGTTTTGTTATATCGTATAACATAAGTTGAAATTAGCTTCATTCCTTATAATTTAATTTCAGTATAGACAATAAGACAATTTTTCCTCCAGAATAAGGTTTCAAATTGAGCATTATTTGAAAAGTAAAGTCAAGCCGAGTAATACATTTTTGACTTAACTCATTGTGACATAGGCAAGTTATGTTATCCAAAATATTATATGTTCCTCTGAATGATTCAGCCAATGAAATAGCTTGATACAAGTGAAATTAAATTATTAAAATATATAAGTTGTGATATTATACAGAAAATATAAACTTCAAATTTGTGTCCATGCACCTTTAAATAAAAGACACCACAGAGTTTGTCACATTTGTTTCACATCTGGATGTTTTACTGAATGTAGACGTGCACATTTTTTGACTAAATTCTGCTTCATAGAAATATAAACACAGGTCAGCTAATGTAATAAAGTTATTCCAATGGGATTCCAATACTTTGTTGGAAAACTTGCTCTCCGAAAACTACATTTAAGTGAAAGGTAAACTACAAAAAGTAAAGGAGTGTTTTTTGCACTGATCAAATTATTATCGTGTCGATATGGTATGTTTTTTGCCCTCTGCTTTGTATTAATTTGTTTGTCAACAAAATGACACAAATTAATAATATTCCCGGATTTCTAGGTTTACTATACTTGCCGAATAAACAAATTATCAATCTATATTAATATATGCTATAATATCTAAATTAATGCCGGGGTGCCGCAGTGGATAGAGCGTCTACTCCGTAGTCACGAAATAAGAGTTGATGCTTTCTTCGTCTGTTTGAGTCACACTGCTAGACAGATTTTTCCGAAGAGACCATATTAATCGATGTCTCGTGTCGAAGTAAATGGTGGCACAAGAAGACTACTCAATGACCCTTAGTGCCGGGTATGGATGTGAATATTTGCAGCCCTCCTTCGGCAAGTAATGGCGTTGAGATGTGCATTAAAAGGGGGAGCTCAAACAAACAAACAAACAAAGACAGAGCCATTTAAAAATACAGCAATCCTCAGGACAATAGATAACCTGCCTGTTTCAGGATTTCTCTTTTTTCATTGAATGAAAATTGATAATAAACAAGATGTGTTTGTGAAACACTATGCGCCCGGCGGCAACAAAGTTAAAAAAAACTTTCTTTCAATCAATCACAGTCAAGGTCACAAAGTTATAGCGAAGGTTAAATTTTGCAGAAAAAAAAACTATTTTTAGCATGTAGGTCACAGTCAAGATCACAAAGTCATTGACCTTGGTGTCATTTGAAAGATCTTTATTAGTTGAGTATGCATACCAAAAATGAAGTCTCTATCTTTCATTGTTCAAAAGTTATGCTGAATGTTCAAAAAATCTATTTTAGCATATAGGACACAGTCAAGGTCACAAGGTCATTGATCTTGGAGTCATTTGAAAGAGCTTAATTAGTGGAGTATGCATACTAAATATAAAGTCTCTATCTTTTATTGTTCAAAAGTTATTAATAGCGAAGGTTAAAGTTTGCAGAAAAAAACTATTTTTAGCATATAGGTCACAGTCAAGATCACAAGGTCATTGACCTTGATGTCATTTGAAAGAGCTTAATTAGTGGAGTAGGCATACCAAATATGAAGTCTGAATCATTCATGGTTCAAAAGTTATACCGAAGGTTAAAGTTTGCAGACAAACAGACAAACAGATAAACAGACAAATAGGCAAACAGACAGGACAAAAACAATATACGCCTCGGATCTTTCGATCCGGGCGCATAAAAATGCAACAAATAATTTTTTTCTAAGTACATAAGAAAAAAGATACTAAGCGAGTGTGTATTATCAAAATAAAGTTGGTAAGGACAAAAGTCTTTTCATTCCGGAACGCAGTGAAAACTTGTAATATTTTTGTTCTGATTTCCTGGTGAAGTGGCTTTGTAGTTTGTTCAAATCTGTTGGATATATTTGGAAACCGTTAAAATTTTATGAAATCAATTTATTTACTTTTTTTTTTTTTTTTTTTGCTTTCTAGAAGCAATTACGTGGAATTCCCATCAATATGTGCAATCGTGGGTGAGTACTATTTTCTCAAAATGTTTAATCTTGTTTATTTGCTAAATTTCCAGCTTTATTTGAAAAAAATTAAGGTTTACTATTTTCACAGAGAAAACAATAAATGCTGTTACAACAATTTCTTCAACGGAACAGCGTGTTTAGGTAAGGGGGTATTCAGTACTCTTTTATAGTTGAAGCAAAATCAGAATTGAAGTTTACGAGATAATCATATAATTGACCAGTAATTGCAATTTTGAATATACTTACAATGAAAGACTATTATCATCAGAATGTCCTCCTGGTTACTATGGAGTTAACTGTAGTGCATCTTGTAGCCAAGGTTCCTACGGACATCTGTGCTCACAGACATGCAAGAAGTGCCCCCAGGAACTGTGCGATAGAGTATTAGGATGCCCAAGTAATCGATTTTTTAATCTTTATTTTTATCTTTATTTGTACTTATCACATCACACAGAAATATAAGTATCAAACACATAATTTATTTTAATATTCTCTGTATTTGTAACAATTTAAATTCCAGATACTTCCTCAACCAATACTGAATCCACAGTTCTACTCACTTCCAGTGTTGACACAATAACCGTCAGAAGTACATTGAAGGTCACCACAGAGGTCAATCTAGAGGTCACAACAGGGACCACAGCAGTTCCCACATCAACTGTTCAGAGTTCTCCTTCAGCTAATATATTCCTTACTAAATCTTTAAAAACTCCAAAGTCTTCAACACCGTTTGTTATTCCACAGTTTGAGACGCCTTATAACTACATTCCTGTGATCGCTGTTACGGGAGGGGTCATTGCCTTATTCCTGGCTATACTAGTGATTCAGAGTTCATTGAAGATGCGGCTAAAGAAACAAAAGATTACTAGAGCTGCATCAAGATTACCAAAGATACCAGTAGAAGAACAAGAAATATATCATGAAATTGACGACATGAATATTGTAATAGATAAGCGTGAGCGGGATTATCAATGCATAGAAAAAAATAAAAAGTATTGTGATGAGTCACACTTATATACAGAAAAAGCTCATTCATATCAAGTAATAAACAATTCTTCACAGGACGTAGAAAAGCCTGTGATAGAAACAGAACAGGGAAATAATCATTCTTCAACAGAAGAAAGCAACAGTTCAGAGGAGAGTGGGTCCTCCTACCTTAAGCCCCATAAAACAACGAATAAACACAGTTACATACAAGTAGTTGACCCGGATATGCATAATGTCTCCGTGTCAAGTGTCCATACAGACAAGGAGCATGAGAACGACTCCTCTTCTCAATATGATGACACTGCTAACGATTCTAGTGCTCTAATTCTGTCTGTTTCTGAGGGAGACTACCTTGACGTAGAACACTGTCTGGATAACAATGCAACATATCTTGAAGTTGTTCATCAAGAGAAATAAGATATGAATTATTATCAAAGTCTTGTAAAGAAAAAATTATAGTTTACAGTACGACATGGTGAATAAAATAAAAAATGACTTCTTTCAAGCCATCTTATTAGGTCTGAATAATTCAAAATGGTTTCTCAATGAAGATATTCGGAAGTTAGATAAAGTAAATAGTTTTTTCGAGAAATATACCATAATATGAAACATGTGTCATACTTTGTGGTATCTTTTATCTCAGGCTCAACGAGATATATTTTATCGAGATAAGAATGGAATTTACTATTGTTTATTAACAAAACGTCTTTGATATATGTAAATATATCGATATATCTAAATGTCGATTACACATCATATTGATCAATATCAAAGAATATATGTACTACCTCTATTTCTTTTTCAACATGATCTATCAAAAAAAATATCGGTATTCAGAGGCGAAAAATTAGAAAAAAATTTTATACAGGGCGATGTGTATTTTAACAGTTTGTTATTAAGATCTGTTAAAACGAGTTTAATTCGTATTAACAAATGTTTGAATTCGTTATTATGAAATCAACAAATTTGTTATAACAGATTGAATTCATTATAACGAATTTCAATAAATTGTTACAACGAATTAAATTCGTTATAGCAAATTCGGCAATTCGTTATATCGGATTCAAAAATATTTTTCGATAGATCATAAATGGGCTTCCGTAAAGATTTCTAAAAGTAGGGAAGAATTTTTTTTTAATATGTCAATATTTTTTTTTCAGTAGATACCTTAAAATAAACCAATGCGGGTACAACGGAACTGAATTCTTAAATAATGGATTTTGTATGACAAATAGTTCACTGGGTTAAAATACGCCCCTGCACATTTTTAAACTCATATGATTTTTCGCACAAGTTTACATCACATTAATAAAATACGAAAAACTGTTAAAAGGCAGCAAAATACATATAACAACAAAGCTTTATGATAAACGTGATAACTTGATCTTTTGAATCCTCAACCTGCCTTATTTATACAGCGATATACCTTTGACACCTGCATAACGAGGATCGTATTGGAAATTAGATCTCCTTGAACGCCACACTTGCATTCATAGAAATATTATTCCCCAGGGGCGAATCCAGCAATTTTTGAAAGGGGGGGGGGGTTCCAGGGTTGTGTCACTCTAACACCCCCTCCCCCCCTTACACACTCTCAAGCAAAGAATCACACACACGTTTGGACTGATCTATATAAGGTTGTGGTAAATAATATCTTTGTTTTACGTCCCTTTTTTCTTTGAAAGCAAAGTAACAAATTTCAAAAACTACTGAAACCTTAAAATAGAATGGATCTGTAGCATTTCCGAAGAGTACAAAGAATTTTCTTTTAAAAATTGAAAAAAACCCAAACTTTTTGGGGTTGTTGCGGGTTTCGTTAAAAACAAAGAGTTTTATGTTAGTTCCCACAAAAGATATGATCAAAAACGGTATATATATACCCAACACAGCCAAAGAACGCGGGAATCTAATATCAAATTAAACATCGCATGATACATATTATATACATGTATGAGATATATGAAAATAAGTAGAATATTTTCTACCATTCTCTCATAAAAAAGGAATACTAGTAGTGAAGGTGAATGGAAGAAAATTACTAAATGTGTGAAAATCTCTCTAGTTCAATAGATAGATGCGTTAGGCGTACAAATATGTATCTTGGAAAACGTTTCATCTCTCTCTCTCTCTCTCCACTTGGCAAAAAATAAAGGGGGGGTTCCAACCCCCGGAACCCCCCCTCTGGATCCGCCAATGTTCCCTAATGTTTTGGAGGTGTGTTTTGGCCCCATTCCTATTTTGTAATGCTTAACTCCATATATTTCATTCATCAATTACATTTGGATAGGTACATGAAGATATTTTGTAACTAATTTGTATAGAATTTGATTTGAAAAATGCGGATGGGATTGGGCAGCAGGCAAAGCCTCTTTTAGCCCTCTTCAAAAATAACTACTTTACATACAATTTCGTTTTGAACTTATTTTATTGACAACATGTTAAAGGGATGGTACACAAGTTCCTAAAACTTAGATAGTCCTCTCCCATGTCCGTTCAATAGACACTAATCCTATACATGATAAGTAACCAGGAAATGTAATCTTTGTTGTATAAGGAAAACGGGAATCTATTCTTCTAAGACAGGAATATGATAATTGAAATTTTTAAAAAATAGATTTTTTTTAAATGACACTAATTACCGATCGCCATTTTAGGTATATAGAAATAATAGAGGAGTAAGGCTATTAAATTATTTAACAATTTTTGGAAACTTTTTAAACAGATAGAATAAATTATAAAACCTGATAGAAGATATTTCATACGATCAAAATAATGTTGATTTCAGGGTGATTTACACTAGAGCAGGAAACAAAATAATATAAGCCCCTGTCGCTGATTTAATCGTATATCCATTTATAGATTTATACAGGAAATTCCTCTTATATAACCATGGTACTAATTTGAAAATCATGAATCGGAAATCCGGTATAATTGTTTACAAATATGTTTTCTAGTTTATTTTCACTTATCAATTAATATATATTTGAAATTTTAGTCTTGGAATTAAGAGATTTTTTCTCAAATATATCATTATACAAGCCAGCTTTTTTCATTTTAATATATTGTATTGAAAATTGTAAAATATATCGAATATAATATTTTAATGAACGGAAATCTGACTTATAAGTTAATAAAGACCAATAATGAAGAAAATATAATTAAGCTATGTTTTTTATTGCAATTAACTGAGAGAAGATATAAACTAGTACTGTAAGAACTGACTTCACCAAATGATACTTTTGCCTCCTTAATGGTTATAACAGCAAACTTTATGTTTGCTCTGGGAGACCCCCGAAATAAGTGTCAGGCCATAAAGTAAAAAAGGAGGTGCGCAATGGTCTTCTGTAAAAATTAATCTGTGTGTTTTATTTAAGGAATGACTCTAATTCTTGGCCAAATTATCGAGTATAATGTGGTTTGGGTCAGTTAACGCTTTATAACCCGCGAAGCGGATTATAAAAAACCGTAAACTGACCCAAACCATATTATACTCGATAATTTGGCCAAGAATTAGAGTCATTCCTTATAATTTAATTTTAAAATAATTAAACAACTAGGGATGTAAAATTGTGTTGTTTTTATGAGTTCAAATTTACCGCACAATAATACAACCGTAGTAACGGAAGTGATGGGAAGCGAGGGGAGGTAAAAACTGATACATAGATCTAGCAGCCATGATGCTTGTTTATATGAGGTAAGATCGAGCAACTGTTTGAAATTAAAGGTACATTCATTAAATCTGGAATTTTCCATGAATCCCAAGGACTGGAAATGAGGGAATTGATGGATACAGATGATTATGCTGGTTGTCAAGGGGGTGTGTCCCCATACCAAACCAGATTATACAAAATGTTATGCATTCCTTTTTGGAAATGAACCAATGAGAGGCAAGAATACAAGTAAAATTAAATCATATTCGTAATAAAAGAGTAATTGGTTGCAGATAAAAAAAAATGAGTACCCGTCATTACCAAAATATATGTCCTATCAAAATATATAAAATAGTAGAAGCATAATGGCACCATGTAAAAAAAAAATTCTGTAAATTTCATTCAGTGGTATAAGAGGGATTGCGGATAAGGGATTGGCACCCTAAAGCGTAACAGACGACGGTAGGACGTACAGACGACCATATACCCTACTCTTTTTTTAAGTGTTCTTTAACCATTCTAGTAGATTCTGGTACAGGGCGATATTTTACAACAGAATTTACGATTAAGACAAAACACGTAAGCTTGATATAAAAGTTTGTAACGTTATTCATCCCAATAAGAATTACTGTCAAAAAGACATGTCTTAATATGCCTTTTAAATGTCAAATTATCACCAAAGTACATTGTGGTCTTAATCGTAATTTTTTTTTTATAATATAAATCCATGATTATATTTCATAACCAATTTTAATCAACCAAATTATACAATTAGCAAATGTTGCGCATTTTAAATGCGTTTCACAAATTTCATAAACAGGTATATAGTTTAATAGGTTTTTTAAAGTGTTATTTATCTAGTAGTTTTCAATATGAATCACAGTTTATTCACACTAATATGAATGCTATATCATTTTAGTACTAATACTTCTTGCTGTTACAATCATTATTTCAATGGCAGTGTATGCACTGGTAAGTAAATCTGTGTAATATTATCGATGTATTTATAATTTTACCTCGAACATTTGAATTGTATGTTATTCAATAAGCTTAAACATAACGACGTTATATATCTGATAAATTACAGAATGTGAACTTGGTTAATACGCCCACATTTGCACTAGTCCTTGCCCAACAAAATCTTATGGATGATTTTGTAATGAACCCCGTGGTATCTGCAGCAACTGTGATGCAAAGCTTTGATGCTTAGGTATATGTATGATTATGAGTTAAAATATCATTTTATTGAAATTTAGTTCAAATTTGCATATTCTATTAAAAACTAAATATGTTAAAATATTTTTGTTAATTTTTACAGATGGTAATATTAGCTCTAGTAGATCGATTAACGTAACAGATATGCAAATTATACAACAAAAACTATCTACATATGTACTCCTTTGGATGATAGCCTTAAAACAAGTGTTCCTTCTTCTTACAATAATTTATCAACGTCAAATTTGCGAACAGCATAAACAATCCCTTCTATGGTCGTTACTTCATCCTCGACAACTCTGCAAGTCCCAATCATTATAAGTAAACCTGATTCTCCATTCAACAACAACGTAGTAACCATAGGTATTCTAGGCATAGGAGGCGCCCTCTGCCTGTTACTGACAATTTTAGTCGTCCAGTGTTGCGTGAGATTTACTCAAAAGATCATGACAGGTTTCATTGGTCGGAAGGGGATGATTCCAATAGTTTGTTGGAAAACTCGCTCTCTTGGGACGACATAAATGTTGTCAAAAAAGAATTCCATCATCTATTAATTATCGACTTCAGCGTAGTTGTTAGTAAAATCAAAGTGTTTTTTTTGGCAAAGTTATTTTGCTATGGTCAATCAGAAGATATGAAAAGTTATATTAGAACAATCATGCTGATTCTTTGAAATTCAGATTGAAAAGAAGTTTAGATTGAAATTGTTAAAAAAAACATATAGAGGTAAGGAACAGTATTCAAGATTATTAGTCAATAAAACAATACAAAATAGGATCAGAGCAAACACAGACTTCCAAACTAGGTTCCATGAAGGAGTAAACATCCCCTTCCAACCGGTCATACCCGAAATATGATAATATGATGATGTCATTTTGTTATTGTATTATCTGCCAATTGATTTGTATATCTATAGAAACAATTTTTTCTTTGAAACATTTCATGGTATGTCTTCTGACTTTATTTGTGATCTTTTTGAGTTTCAAAGTTCTGACCTATAACCATCACTACTGGCTTTTAAAACCCCTGTCCGTATGAAAATCCATTGTCTTTCTCTGTATCCTACAGCATTTTCACAGTAATCTATGGTATATCTACAGTATGCTACGGTATGCTAGCTCTGTATGTACAGTAAATCCCTGTATGTCACTGTATGTATCCCCAGCATGCCACAGTTACATACAGTAGGCCCCGATGCGCCTACAGTATGCCACTGTATGGCTACTGTTTCCTACAGACAACTACGGTAAACCCCAGTATATGTCCCAGTACGCCCCTGTATATGTTCATTGAAGCAAAAAGAAGAAGTTTACAAACTCCCAGAGCACTGTACGGTTACCTAAGATGTGGGATTATCAATTAAGTACACAGAGTTACTTACCTAAGAAATTTTTGAACATCATTTTAAACACATAGTAGTATTTTTTTTTTAATTTGTTAAGAGACTTATTGTGTTCTTTTATAACTCTGAAATAACTATTAAAAATTAAGTAATCATTGCTTCAAAGATTATTTATCTATCAATTTTTAAAATTAATTATTTAATTATTCTTTGGTTTGAT